CCAGGTACTGGGGCGCGGCACGCTGGGGTGGGTTCCCGGGGAGCGTCCGGCCAGGGCGGCTGGCAGGTGCAGCCCGAGTGGAGCAGGCGGGGGCGGGCGGCCCCTGGGCTCCCGTGTTGCTCGTGGCGGCGCTTGTGCCGGGCCCTCCTCCGCACCGAGGGGTCTGTGCCTGGCCGCTGGCCGGTGGGCCGGCCGCCTGGAGGAGCGGGGATGGCGCAGGCTCTCACGGCGCCCGGCCCACGCCCCTTCTCCCCGCAGGCCTGCTCGTGGCATATTGCCACAGATTCGACATCCAGGTGCAGTCGTCCAGGGTCTACTTCGTGGCCTGCACTGTGGGTAAGCGCCCTCGAGCCCGGACCCGGAAGCGGGATCGCCTTGCGCCCTTCCTCGTGCGTCCCCACGACTCTCGAGGTCGCGTGTCCTTCCTCGTGTTCTTTTTCTTTCCTCTTCTGTCCTCGTCTCCCGCTTGTTTCTCTGGTTACCAAAGCCGTTCACGCAGAAGTGACCTTTTCTGTGGGGCCCCGATTGCTTTTAATGTTTTGCAAAGCGGTTGGATTGCCCGCCTCTGGCCAGCCTTCCAGGAGGAGCCGCTAGCTCACCCGATGCCGCCTGTCGGTGTGCACGCATGCTCCCCCCCAACAGGCGGGAGGCGTTCTGATCCCCTCGTCGTGCGTGGGGGTGGGCAGCCAGGCCCGGCAGAGGGGAGGCCCCAGGGCGACCCAGGCTGACCTTCTGGGTGCACTTCGGGGTCGGCACCGTCTGCCCCTTCCCGCCCTGGCTCCTGCAGGTGCAGGCACGCCCCCTCGTCCCCCTCGCCATCCCTGGACCTCCCCTTGGGCTTTGCGTCCTCGCGATGGTCCTTGAAGTGCCACTGCGGGGGTTCTGTGTGCGGCCCCGTTTGTCAGGTGGTTTCTGTAGTTCCTTGTTGTCGAAACCGCACACCTCTTATCGGCAGCAGACGCCTTTATTCCTCCGTAGTTGGCTTCTGTTGAACCACTTCTTTAGGACGTGGGCTAAGCGTCAACAGCGCTCTCCCCCCGGAGCGCCAGGTGAGGACCAGACAGGAGCTGCGGGCGGAAGTAGGTGCTAGAGACCAGCTGTGAAGGTTTGTTTTCTCGTAGCTCCTTCCTGAGGTCCCTGAGGTCGCGGTCAGGACGGGGAGCCGCTGTGTTGTGGGGGAGCCCACACGCCGTGTTCGTGCCGGACAGAGAGCCGGCCGCCTCACCCCTCACCGCCTCCCCGGCTGTTTCACGAGAGCGGAAATGCCCTTCTGTACCCCCACGGGCCGCTCACCGAAGTTTGGATTTCCTGATTTTGTGCATATGTTGCTTGCGTGCAGCATTCTCTTTCTACCTGAAGGCCTAGAGAACGGGACAGTCAGGCGCGGTCACAGGCCTTCGTCTAGCGGCCTCTCTGGGTCCGGAGCCTGGGCCTCGCCCCCGCCCCACTGTCGCCCCCGCCGGCCTCCTGCCCGTCCCAGCGCGGCCGGGCGGGAGCGTGCGTCCGGAGGAAGCCGGCCGGTCCGTGCGCGTGCAGCCCTCCCCGTGTGCCCCTGTCCGGCGCTTCGCCTCCCCGGTCCCGGGTGCTCCTCGGTCCCGCTCCGGCGTGCCCACGGCGGGGGTGCGGGGCCGTCAGCCGGGGTGACGCGCGGCCCGTCTCTCCACAGCCTACGGCATCGGCCTCCTGGTGACGTTCATGGCGCTGGCCCTGATGCAGCGCGGCCAGCCCGCTCTCCTCTACCTGGTGCCCTGCACGCTGATGACAAGCTGCGCCCTGGCGCTCTGGCGCAGGGAGCTGGGCATGTTCTGGACGGGCAGCGGCTTTGCGGTGAATACCAGTTTGCTATGACTGTCTGCGAGCAGTAATAACCCAATAAGCCCTAACTAGAATTACAGTTGAGTAAAACCTCCCGGTTTCACGACTAAACCCCACAGCCTGTGTCCCGTGGTCAGTGTTTCCCCGTCCCCACGAGGTTTGCTTTGCTGTCGTGTCCCTGTGGCTCTGTCCCTCCGGGTGTGGCTTGAGCACAGTGCCAGTCCCAAGGGGCGGTAACACCCCATCGGATTGGACCTTGGCTTCCGGCTGTTCCCACCATCAGGGACGCAGCGCCAAGCTCGGGGCCCCGGAGCTCCTCTCCAGGGTGGGCTCACGGCGCTCATCTTGGTGCTGCCGGTTTTTGCACCAGAAGAGGAGGGGGCTGGAGGCCCCTCGTACCGTAGCATCGTGCGTTCGATGTGAAAGCACGAGGTCTCGTGTGTCCGCGCCCCAGGCTGTGCTGACCTCCTCCCGCTGCCTGTCAGTGAATCACGGGGAGCAGCCCCTCCGTGGCGGGAGCTCCGAAGGGCCCTAGGCATCTCCTGAGTGTGACCCGCGGCCCCCAGGGTGGAGCCTGTTGAGCGTGTTTTGGAAGTGGAAACACGCATCCTCTCCATCCCGGCCTAGAGACGCTGAACGGAGTGGGGCTCCAGGGCACCCCATTAATTAACCAGACGATGTAACCCGGTGATGGGGCTTTTCGCCCTCCCCCGGACCCTCGGGGAAGCACCCCGGCTTCACTGCCTACCGTCCTCAAAGGGTCTCAGTCCCAGTGAGCGCTGGTTTTGCCACAGAGCAGGTAGCTTAGTTGAGGAAGGTTCAGGAGGTGGGGAACGAGCCAGACACGTCAGAGCCAGGGTTTCTGCCTCGGGTGGCCATCCCGTGGCCCGCCTGCTGGTGGTCGTAGGTGGTCCCGAGGGAAGGTGGCTCCTGGGCCTGGAGCTGGACCCTCTGCCCTCCCGCCCCAGGCTGCCCCCCAGGCTTTCCCGCCCCGCCCCACACCTGACTGCGGCCTCTCTTACAGAAGGACCTACCTCAGTCTCCTTGGGCGCCATCTGCAGCCGAGGACCCGCAGTCTCGGAAGGACTCCGACACCGGCCTCCCCCAGCCGCCTCCAGGCGAAGGACTGGCCAAGTGCCCCCCGCCCACGCAGCAGCCCCCGGAAGTGTCTGCGCCCGAGGAGACGGGGGCCGGAGCCCCCCCCCAGGAGCCCGCGAGCCCCGCAGGCCCCACCCCCGAGCCCACGAGCCTGGTAGGCGCCTCGGCCTAGGAGGTGGCGCAGACTCTCGGGCCCTCGCTGCTGCCCCGCCATGCCGAGAGACCCCGAGACTGGACCTGCCCGGCCCCCCCAACTTGGTGCTCCGGTCTGGCCGATGTCCCCGCTCTTCCTCCTCGAGCCGAGCCCAGCTGCAGCCCGGACCCTCTCCAGCCCCGCTCCCAGCTCACGTGGCTGCCGCGAGCCCCTGCCCCGCTCCAGCCCATGACGTCACCATCTGCGTCACGCGAGCGCCCAGCTCCACGGTCCTGCCTGTCCACTCGGTGTTTCCTTGGCAAGGGCAGGAAGCGCCACCTCCGACCGCCCACGGCTACAGATCGCCCACATCTGGTGCTTACCACGCTGCCGCTTCCCTCAGGTTGTCGCCCGCGCCGCGCTGGGCCGGACGCCGGTCGGCAGAGCCCCGTAGTGCAGCCCGGCTGGTGTGCGTGCCGCCGGCTGGCCGGGGTCGGCGGGGGCCGCGCAGGAGCCTCTTCGTCCGCCTGGGCCGCCCGCATCTGTGGTCCAGCTTCGCCGCCTGCTAATAAACGGCCACGACTTGTTGAACTCGGGTGGTGTCGCCTCTTGGGTCTGAGTCTCTGGGACGGCCCTCGTCGGGGCAGCTGGGCGCCCCGTTCACGGGGCTGCGTCTTTCCCGTCAGCTCCGTTCTTTCGGGTTAGAGGGACTGGGGGGTGCCCCCACCCGCCTCATGACATCTGCACGCTCCCAACCCCACCCCAGCCCGGCCTCTAGGAACAACACTGGCCAGGCGAGCGCACTTTTTATTTAAACCACCTGGGAGCTTCTAGAATGTGGAGAATATTCTGGAACTGGCATTTTGTCTTCTACCTCACTGACAGGGCTCTGCGAACGTCACGACGGGAATGCCGCAGCAGGACTGGCCGCGGGGCGGCGGCCCCCACACCGTGGCACGCGCCGGTCCACGCAGCCTCCAGCCTCAAGCCCAGAAAGCTGTGTCCACTGACGTGACGCGAAGGAACAGACCCCCCGGCCACATGGCCCAGCTCTGTCCCCCGTCTGTCCGCTGCTCAGTTGCAGACAGCAGGCACGGGGTCAGCCATGATCCATTCCAAAAAATACCAGCGCCAGACAGACTCACTCACAGCCTTTGTTAGCCATGCTGCTCTAAGGAGGAATGATGTTTATTCCAAAAAAAAAAAAGACGTCTTCCACCTGTTTGTGTGTCTCTTAAAACAGCAGGTGACCCGGGAGGGAGACCAGCCGGCCCCAGGGAGCCGCCCGACGGGGAGGCCAGACCGGGGTGCAGGGTCTGAGCGGACCGTCCCCACGTCGACCCGCACGTCCCTCGAAGCCATTATGTACGTTGGCGTAGGAGCCAGAATCTCTCCGTTTTCCGTGTTTGACAAGCGTCGGGGCGTTCCAAGGCGGGTGTTCGTTCCTGGGGTTTCCGCGTGCAGTCTCCGCTCGCTCCTGTTTGAGTCTTACAATTAAACACAGCTTTTGAGAGCTGCCGCTTGGCCCTCGTCTCCTCCGTGCTGTGGCCCCGGCCGGCAGGGTCGGCTGCGCCGAGGTGTGGGAGCGAGTCCACGGCGGCCGGGCGAGGCCGGGTCCCCATCCGCGGCGTGTGAGAGTCGAAGGAAGCTTGGCAGCCTGTCGCGGGCCCGTGGACTTGGTGTGAAGAGCTAGCTGGCCGGCGGCTGGGCTCGCCCCAGCACTCGGCGCGGCCACGGCCAGGACGCTGCTGGACATGGAGATGTGGAGTCCCACGTGGTTTTCCCAGGTCATGGGATAGCCTCCCCTGGATAGTTTTCACCTAGTCAAAAAGGTGCAGCCCTTAGTGAGCGCCTGCGAAGGTCGCCCCCCCAGCCCTGCCACCTGCGGTGGTGGCCACCAAGCTGTCCTCTGTGGGAGAGAAGGCGTGTCTCCAGGGCCGCTCCACTAGGCCGCATGGGGCCGACGGAGACGCAGAGACACATCGACTCCTCCAAGACCATCCCAAGCCCGGGTGCTCGGCACTGCGCACCGAGGGTCCCCAGCCAGGCCGTGGAGCCCGGGGGCTCTGGTGGCACACGCCTTGGCCCGCCGGCCCTGCTCGCCCCGGACTGGTGCTGGGCCACGCCATCGTGAGGGTGGCGAACGCGCGGGTGCCCAGGAGGGGGGCCCCATGCGCTTGTGTCCATGGGGAGGGCTAGCACAAGTTGGCGCTGGGGAGACCGAGTTCCTGCTCTGTGTGGTGGGGCACAGCTCTGCGTGGACGTGGGACTGCAGAGTTGGAACAGTGCTGTGAGGACAGCGGTTTTGTTTTCCTGAGTCGCAGGGCTTACATAGTTTTCATTAACTCTTCATTCCATCCGTCTTCATTGAGCACCTGCTGTGTGCCCCCGACTCCACCTGGGGGTACGTGTGTGAGGCTCAGACCCACTCTGCCCCAGGCGGCTGAGCCTGGGGAGCTGGGGAGGAAGGACAGGACACGGGTCCACACCTGCCTCTGTCTTCGGGGGCAGACAGGTGTCAGGGAGGGTACGTGGGGGAGCAGGTGGGGCCTCCAGTGGGGAGATGAGCGTGGCTGGTGGGAGGGCAGGGGTCGCTGGCCACATGGGGAAGGCATGGCCCATGTCACCAGTGGGCTGGGAGGCAAGAGTCCTAGAAAGAGCCCAGCGGTGGCTGCCCTGTGGGGAGAGGAGGGTCCCCCCACACACAGTGCCCCCGCTCAGGGACGGGTGCAGCAGTGGGAAGAGCCCACTGGCTCTGGAGTCCTGGCTGCATGCTGGAGCTGAGTGACCTTGGTCGTGTCACTACCCTCCCTCTGGGGCTGAGCACGAGAGCTGCTTCTGCAGGGCCTGGCTCGGGAGATGGGGCCACACGGCAGGCAGCTGGCGCCCGGAGGGACTGCTCCCTCTCCAGCGCCGTGCTTGGCTCCCCGTGGCTTCTAGCGCTTCCCACAGAGGACGTCCCCACCTAGGCCTGAAGATGTTGCCAACGTTGGTCGTAAGACAGCTGGTCCCTGAAGGCAGTTCAGAAAATACCCCCAAAGTGTCTTGAGCGAAGATGATGGTTCTAATGAAGGGTGTGTTCTCCTGGGCGGGCGTGGAGGGGTAAGCGGGGGGTGGGGGGTGGGGAAGGCTGGGCTGCCGCGTGGCTGTGGCAGGTGCTTCAAAACCGAGGCCAAGCCACTGCCCCAGCCTGACCGTGAGAAACACACCAAACCCCAACAGAAGGGCGTCCTACAGACCCCTCCTGGCCTTCCCCGACAGCCCACGGCATCAAGATCGAGGGGCCTGAGAAACCCTCCCACCGGAGGGGCCGCGAGCACAGAGCGAGTGCGTTAGGGAAACCGGGGATCCGAATAAAGTGTGGATGTTGGCTAATAATGTGTCGGTATTGGTTCATGCGTTGTGACAATGTATGGCTCGAGCATAAGGTAGGAAACTGGGTGCAAAGGACCATCTTCACACCTTGTCTGTAAATGGAAAGCTGTTCCACAAGTTTATTTTTTAAACTGTCGTTATTCACACACACCCCCATCCCCAAGCTGTCTCCCCAGGGTCGTGCCCCCCGTCCGGGCTCACCTGCCCGGGCTCACCT